GTGCGCAAGTGTTTGAAGTTTTTGGTTGTAACACTAATAGGTGTTCACTATAGATATTATATAAAAATTAGAATAATAGAAATCATGTTCAGTCACATGATCTAGGATGACTACTGCTAATATTCTGCTGAGTTCTTTCTAGTGTATTTCCATACTCATATCTCAATTTCTTGTAATTTACTTTTCCCGTTGAGTAGATCATGAATATTTCTCAAGTCATTAAAATTACTATTATTATTATTATTATTTCAGACAGAGTCTCGCTCTGTTGCCCAGGCTGGAGTGCAGTGGCGTGATCTCAGCTCCCTGCAACCTCCGCCTCCTTGGTTCAGGTGATTCTCTGGCCTCAGCCTCCTGAGTAGCTGGGATTACAGGTGTGCACCACCAAGACTGGCTAATTTTTGTATTTTTAGTAGAGACATGGTTTCAACATGTTGGCCAGGCTTGTCACAAACTCCTGACCTCAGGTGATCCACCCACCTCGGTCACCCAAAGTGCTGGAATTAGAGGTGTGAGCCACCATGCCCAGCCCAAATTATACATGTTTTTAAATGCCAGAATGTATTTTATTACATTGTATATTTTATTATGTAGTGTATTTTATTATATAATGTATTACATTACATAAGGGTGAACATAATTTATTTTACTACTGGCCACTCCCCCTTTCCCTTTTGGACATCTAAGTTCATTTATTCATTTATAAAATATTTTTTAAGTCCCTTATAATACCAGAACTCTTCCTAGTGTTGAGGTTTAAACAGAACACAAGATGTAAATGCCCTATAGGAGCTTGCATTCCAAGCAAGTATGGAGCAATACACATAATAAAATGATAAAATTAATTGGTCCCACCCAAGATAACTACTTACTCTACTCAGACTTTACAAGCTTCAAAATGAATCTTTTGAGACTCTCCAAAGAGGTTCAGTTTACTTCCGAATCTGTGGGATTGGCTAGAGACCAATTATTGCATTTTCCTAAGATAGGTGGAACCAGAAACTTGTTAAAATGGACACTGTAGTCTTACTAGTTCCTTTGTATAAGTATATATGCCATAAATTACACAGCGTTCTATTTATTGAGGGCAGATGCAATCATTGCCAATTAATTCTTTTGTTATCTTCATAAGTTTTAGTTGTTAATACCCTTCTAAATATTATTTTATATAAGTAAAGTCAATAGACTCTCACAATTTTTGAAAACATATATGAGTACTCTGTAGATTTGTAAATTGATCAAGAATATTTATATCTGGGTATATTACATGTTTGTGTAGAAATTTCATGCTTATGTATAGCTAACAGTGACTCTGGGGTACTTCCAGTGGCTCTCTCCCATGGTATATCATGAGGTAACTTTCATTACCATCTTGAATCAACAACCACTTTGAGGTCTGTTTCTGACTGACAGGCTCTAAAACCTGATTCAGCACACTTGCAGAGAGAGTCAGTTTTTCTGGGGCAGAATCCAATTAGGAAAAGCTCATGAAACCGAGAAATAAAAACAGGATACCTTCTATTAGTTTAAAATATGTAATTGTAAATTAGAGAAGAACTGAAATACTCTACAGTTACTGTCTATACATTAGAGGGCTCTTTCCAGGAGGTCTGGTTACATTGATCGATTAAAATAAAACTTGTAAAATTATATTGCAAATTATTCTCCCAAAGAGTACCAGTTTTTATGATTAACACATTTTTCTCCTATAGACGGAGCTACATGAGAAAGTAAACCATAATGAGGAAGTCATCTGTTGGGTTTAGAATCAGAAAGACTATAATTAGAAAAATTGAAATCTTAATGGTTCCAGACTCAGATAGCCTGCTGGATCTGAACCTCAAAGTCTATTCATCAAAACCTCTGCACCCAACCTACATGAGAGGTGTCCAGGTCTATGACATTGGAAAGGCCCATTTAGAGATGACCAAGGTTTTCTCTACCCTAGACAGTGCTAACATTTGTCTTTGTAATTCTCTATTTTGTTAAGCTCAGTTGATTTATACTTCTTTCTTTCACAATAACAAATTTTTTGGTAAATCAGAACAATTTCAGGCCAGAGAGTTATTCTGTTTAAGGAGTTTTTACCTTTTCTGTGATATTTCCAGTTTAATTCTGAGGGGCAGCTTATTGTATTCATCTCTCACCCCAGTACTGGTAAGTTATTAGAGCACCTTGATATGATGTTGATATACGGGAAAAAAATTAAAACCCTCATTAAAGTCCTGTTTGTATTTCTGTTTTCAGCTCAAATGTATTTGAATGCATTTAAGTGCCATGTTTCTAATACACATCTATCTTTTTGTAGTAAATGATAACCTCACTTGGCATTCTCAGAAAATGGCATTTCTAATTGAGGCCTGGGGTATTTCACTTACAATGGCTATTTTTCATATCCACTATAATTAAGCTTCATGTCTTTCCTACAGCTAATGTATAGTTTGAGTCCATCAAGGTTTTATCATTTTCATTCTGGCCTAATAAAAAATGTCATCTGCTAAATTACTGGCATGTCTTACTGCACATGAATCTTCCTTAGTTTCAATACAAACTTTATCCAGGCACTTAATTTCAGGATGGAGAATTCATGAGAAGCATGCCACTACTCCTTACTCTGTTCTCCAAGTCCACATCACTAATGATAACAGTTTTCCCTCTGGCTAGATGTGGGCTAAATCCAGATGTGGGCTTCTTAACCTCTTGTCTCCAGTTAAGTAGAATTGCTTCCAACCTTAGAGTTGGTGTGCCAGATAAAGTTAGCTTTGAATTCCTTGTCTGTCTTGTGGTATCTGACAAGATTTGTCATTTATTTTGAGTCTAGGTATTTTTTCTGAAAGTAATTGTCTACTGAAAGTTTTCTGAATCAGGAAAGAACAAGTTTTGTGCAGCTTCCCCTGTCTCCCCTGCCACCTTTATTCCTATGAAACTCCTCATCAAGACATAAAATTGCCAAATAACATTGATAAAGGCCTGAAAAGTAGTGAGTTTTGTTAAAGAATTTGCTCAGTTAGTCCAATTAATGTCCAAAATTAACATAAACTTTACTGTAAGGTTTTTAAAATTTAAGACATAATTTAGTTTTTAATTAATGAAAAATGTAATATTTCTTATCACAAATGGGTGAAAGTTTTAGTATAAATCCATTGTACATGAATGATTTAACTTTGAATTTCTTCCATGCTAAATGAAACTCATTGGGTTTAGAAATTCGGAAATAAAATACTATTGTGAACTTTTAAGAAGTTCATGATTTGGAATACTATGCAGCCATAAAAAAGGATGAGTTCATGTCCTTTGCAGGGACATGGATGAAGCTGGAAACCGTCATTCTAACACAAGAACAGAAAACCAAACACCACATGTTATTACTCATAAGTGGGAGTTGAACAATGAGAACACGTGGACACAGAGAGGGGAACATCATACACTGGGGGATGTTTGGGGGTGAAGGGCCAAGGGAGGGATAGCATTAGGAGAAATACCTAATATAGATGACAGGTTGATGGATGCAGCCAACCACCATGGCATGTGTATACCTATGTAACAAATCTGCATGTTGTGCACCTGTACCCCAGAACTTAAAAGTACAACAAAAAAGTTTGTGATTATTTAATACTCCTGTTGCTCTATGATGAAAGTAAATATGAAACATCAGAATTTTACAGATGACATATTAAAGTGCTTGCAATTATTGGTGAAATTTTGGCATTTTAAGAGTGTTTTAACTGCTTGTTCAGTTCATAACCAGGCATTGGTTTAACTCTTTTTGCCTGTATACTACTGTACTGACTGAATTGAGAAAAAAGAAAAGAAAGCTGTATAAGGACATTCAAAATACTTCCATTTGTGAAAATAGCTAAGTTAGAAGAGTCATATTATTTCTGATGTTCAAACCAGGGTTATTGGTAATTTTGGGATCTGAAGGTTGATAAATTTCCGGAAGTCCAAATATCACACTACTTCAAACTATCCCCGTTTTTGAATATACAAGCAGGATTTGTCCAAAGATGAGTTACTCTTTCTTCTATCTCATTTTCTAGAAGTTAAAAAATAGGTATAGTGTATGAGTACAAGTAGAATTGAATACAATAAATTTCCTTGAATACAAGTAGATGCACTACCTGCAATTTTATTTGCAGGGACTATACAACTAAGATCAAGAGAGGGGTTTTGCAAATTTTATTCAATTTATCCCTATCTTCTCCAACTTTTTTACTGACAAAATTTTTTTACATTTGGAAATAATTATTTTTTTTATCTTGGATATTGCCAATGCCAGGAGCAAACCCATACATCATCTGATAAATAAACTTAGCTTTATTTTTTATGTTAGTGATTTTCAGAAGGGAAATAAAATTCCTTCTTTCCCTTGTATAGCTTACTTCAATTTGTTCTTTTTCTACACAACTTTCTAATACTTGCCTCAAGCATAAATATATGCAAATGGTTCATTCATTGTGGATCTGACACACAAGTATGAAAAGTAAAAGACTTGCACATTAAATAGGCCTGCTCTGCTTCAGCCTATAACCTAACAAGATGAGATCTAACATGAAGTAGAAAATATGACTCTATTTGCTTACCTTATTCCTCTACCATTTCGCTTCTACATTAACTTTAAATAGTAAGATAATAATAGAGGTAATGGTTGCCTAAATGAAACAAACAAACAAACAAACAAATAAACAAAAAACAATTGGTTTCCAGTGGAAATAGAGTTTTACAGGTGAAAAATTTTGTTCTCCATAAAAGCTTCTGATCACTTTCCAATGCAGAGGAGGACCTGCTGGAGCACCTGATTCTGCCATGAATTCCTCATGTTATTGCCACTTGTTTGTCCCCATTTCTAGATGTGGTTCCATTTAATTTTTACTACTGTTTCGAAGCTAGAACTTCATATTGGCTTGGCAAATGACTGCCCAATCCCTAGCCTCTTTGCCAGGGTAATTTTTGCCAGCCCTATCATTTTTCACTGTTTATTTGGAGAATAAAGTACTTACAGGGTTGAGGATGACAGTGAAGAAAAGTTCTCCTCCTTGGATACTTTTATCCAGCTCTTTAGGACCCCCTGGATATTCCTTGTAGAAAATAGTGTGAGTGAAAAGCCCACAGGTTTGTCTTGGGAGAACCTGAAGGAAAAATGAAAAAAGTAAGGAAAAAGCTTTTTTCAGTCAATTTGTTGAAAATTAGCTTTTTGCTCATGGAAGATGACGCACAAGCTAGTGACATTATTCACATCTAACTAGGGCCTGGACAATCTTATCATACTCTAGGCAAGAGAGGGTGATGTTAATATGGAAGGAAGAGTGAAGAAAGTTGAAGAAATATTTTAAAACTGAAATAGGTATTGCGTTATTTTAGTCACTTGTTTGTTTTAAATATCAAAGTAAGTAATTCTATGAAGAAGCCTAGTAGTTTCCAGCATCTTGAAGAGATCTTTTTTAAGAGATTTAAAAAAAGAAGTGAAAACGAGACTTTAAAAGTATTGGATTGTCTATAGTATATTGTAATCCTAATAGGCAAGAATTTTAAGAATAAAATTCTGCCATAAAATGCAATAAAAATTTTGCCAAATTCTGTCGTGCATTAGAAAATGAAGTAAATTATCAACTCAATATGCTTCTTAGGGAATGACATTTTAAATTAGAATAAATATTTGAGAAGCAAATCACAGTATCTGTTCTCTTCTGAAAGGACTACTGCAGGCTACAGTAATTGCCTCAGATTCTAAATATGAAGCCTGCCAGTTCCAAGAGATTGTCCACTTAGTTTGTTACTTTTAGAAAGTGTAACAACAAAATGATAAAAAGTCATTTAGCAAAAGATCTTCTCTTCATCCTTTGTATATAAGAGCAATTATCTGCTTCACTTATATATACTTGTGATAAGTTTTTTTGAATTTTTACAGCCTTTTGCAATTATAAAAGAAGGTATAAATTAAAGCTGTGCAAGATGGTAAAGCCTTAAGCTAAATATTTTCCTAAGACTTCATGGTGACCTGTGTTTGTCACTATACATTTGAAGTAGCAGAACATTAATAAGTATACTTCAGAGAGCTACAAATGTTACAGAATCATATACAGGCAGGTCTTCTGGTTATTGTCCTAAGCAAATCAATCTTGATGTTTTCTGTCTCGACTCTTAAAGCATATTTGGTTCAGTAAGTGCTTTCAAAATATTACCTGTCCAGGACTTCTTATGTTTTGCAATATTCCGGAAATATACTAGTTTTTTTAAAAAACTTGAATGTATATTAAATTTTAATCCAGCTCTTGGACAGTACAATACTGGTTATATAATACAATCTATTATATAATTTAGTCCTTGGACAGACAGTTCAATCAATATATCACCTATTACTGAATAAATCAAAACTGTATATATCCTTTTTATTTTGGTAAGTTGGTAGAAGTTATATCCTTAGAAGCTATTTTGTCTTAATAAAAATTAAAAAAATCTGTTTAAAGCACAGAATATTAGCTCTGATGTTTAGAGGCATAATATATGCTAATAATGCTATCTATACACACACAAAAAACTAAATGCAAACACATTTTAACAGAATTAAATATATTTTCTAACAATTATTATAAATGTAATATTGGGAAATTAAAAATGAAATTTTGAATTTGGAAAGCACTTGGAACAAATAAATGCTTTATATAGCATTTATTCATTTATTTAACAAATATTTATTCTAAACTTTATGCTAGCCAACAGAACAGAGTTAGTTCCATGCTAGTGGAACTAGCTATGGACTCTATGTTAATCTGTTGCATGGAGTTAGTTTTATGCTAGAATGCTAGATGTATGTGCTAGTTTCATGCCAGTCCATGTGAGAGAACAGAAAAAGATATGTTTTCTACTCTTGAAGAATTTAAACTATATCAGGGTAATGAGGAAGACCTCAAAGCTAAATAATAAAATGCTCACATATGTTAAATGCCAAGTAAATGTTACATTTTAAAAGTGTATGACTATGACTAAATCACTTCTAGGGTTCACTTTGAATCTCTTGCTTGGAAGATTATAGAATATATACAGAGCCATCCTTTTGACTTGATTGCCTAGCTGATTCTGTGTAAAATGAAGAGATAAGTGAAAAGATATTTGAGTTTTGTCTATCTCTCAAATTCTGTGAATTTCAGTGCAGTGAAGAGGAAGTGGCAGGCTTACCCTGCAACTCTAGGAGCACTACCGCTGAGGGTATGAGCCCCATCGAGGGCCCTAGGGGAGTCAGTGGACTACCATAGGGGGCTAGGAAGATAATCAGGAGTGTTAAAAGGGTCATATTCCACTGCCTTGCTCCTTAAATGCAGTGGCACCAAATGACGAGCATGCTCCTTGAAACAGCTTTCTTGTGCTACAGAAAGGATGAGAAAAGTTTTTAGGTATTCTGCTGTGGACAGCCCCCTAGACTTGGTTCTGGGAATGTAACAACATCAAATTCAAACTTTGAGATGCCAGTGAACCCCTGGAAACTTTATTGCTGCTGAAAATAACTGAGAGTTGATTGTGAAAGCCATGATCAACAAGAATCTTGGCCAGTGGGAACTGAAGCCAACGTCTGTAGCTAAGGCTCATTCAGGAGCAACTGCCAACAAATACTTCTGGGGGATACCAATAAAGACCACTTAGATGGTTTTCATCAGGATTAATAGTAGTCTCTACTAATGGGCATTTCCATTAAAAACAGTAAGTAGAGAGGTAGTCTAATTAGTATAGTCTAATTTCTTAGAGACTCTGGCTGATGTGGTTAGAGTTTGTGTCCCCACCCAAATCTCATCTTAAATTATAATCCCCATAATACTCATGTGTCAATGGAGAGACCACGTGGAGGTAACTGAATCATGGGAGTAGTATCCCACATGCTATTGTTGTGATAGTGAATTCTCATGAGATCTGATGATTTTATAAGAGGTCTTCCCCATTCATTCTGCACTTCTTCTTCCTGCTGCCTTGTGAAGAAGATGCTTTGCTTCCCCTTTGCCTTCTGCCATGATTGTAAGTTTCCTGAAGTCTGCCCAGCCATGCTGAATGGTGAATCAATTAAACCTCTTTCCTTTGTAAATTACCCCAGTCTTGGGTATTTCCTCATAGCAATGTGAGAATGGACTAATATGCTGGTTCTTTCTAGAGAGTCGTGTTCAACAACCAGAAATTAGAGTGGAGAGTGCTCTCATCTAAGAGCCTACAAGCCAAATATAAAAGGTTTCCACAGATTGCTGCAAAAGTGGGCCCACAGAGACAGTTCCATCAAAACAGGAAATCTGTTAGAGCCTCAATTACCTGCAAAATTCATGTATTTGTAATATAGATAAAATGTGTTTTTAGGAGAAATGGAAAATATAACCCAGGTCTGCTAAACTCCCTCTTGTCAGAACGCTAGCAGCTTGAGCCACTGTAAGTTCATTTTCAGTACAGAGGAAGAATAGATTGGGATAAAATGTGGCCATAATGTCCCCATCTAGCATTTACAACAGTTTTTACTGAGGGAAAAGTCAAGATGGGAGATGATCTAAGTTATATGTCTATCCACTGTAATTTTTGCAGACATTGAAAAACTGTCTGAAAAGAAGTCAGTTATAACCTAATTCTAGAGGGTAGACATCTCTTTAGACTTATCAGTTCAACAGAGTGTTATGGTGGCTCATCACATAGTGTTCTTCTGTGGCGTTTCTTCCCAGTGTGTGATTCTAAATCAGGAGGCCCATTCCTAGCTATACTAGTACTTTCTTTGGATTTCTGATTTGAGAATAAATTAGGATTTAATTGCTTACTTTGGGAGGTAGTAGCATATTTTGACAATATACATTTGCTAAAATTGTTAAAAGCAAAACAGAGAAGCCCAGATAGAATTAAATGGTGTTTGCAAATTAACATCACCTGTCATTTTTACTCTATATTATTATATGTTAATGGTTATGCAGGGCCTCACATGTGGCTTCTGGCTGCAAATGGTCGAGTTCTTTTTTTAGTCTGGCTTGGTAAACAGAAGAACACAGTTTGACTGGCTTGTCAAAGAGCAGCATGGTTAATATAGACAGAGTTGATGTTAGTTTTTCATACTGAATAACATTTTGAAGAAATGATGTCTACTAAAAATTATCTGCAAGTTAAATGTAATTTTTTTTTTTTTTTAGTATTTTAACATCAGTGCCTGCGTACCAGTGGTAATGTCAGTAAAAAAACCTTTTCCAGTTATATTTGAAGAATTGAAGTGATTTTAATTAAAACATTTTCTGCTTAGATATGACAAATATGCTTTCTGGAGCATGGAGCTTCTCCTACAGTTATGTTTCTAACATTTGCTTTTTTCAAATGAGGAATGTAAATCTGGCAGAATTAGTTGTACTCTATGCATACCGGAGGAAGCTCACCATGATGTTTTTGTGGATAAAACCCCTCCGGTATCTAGCTGGTTTCAGATGTGGATATTCTTCAGTGCTGGTGATTTTAATATTCCAGACCTTCTTCCAGGCCTCATAAAGCTGAACATGTACAGGGTAGACGCCGGAATGGTGAGGGGCCACAGCGTAGCCCATGTCCGTAGGAATGCCATGCTCCTAAGACAAAGCAGATGTTAATTAGAGTGTGTAAAGATTTATCTTGATCCTATTGGTACCTCAGGAATTTCAAATGTACTATAAATATATATGTTTAAATGCATCATTACTTAATTGCGTGGTAAAATTAAAGTACCAACTATTAACACCTCTAGACGTCCTGAAGCCTGGTAGCCATTCCACCAGTCTCTACGTTGATGCATCTGTGTTTGAGGGGTGGTGAGACAGAACTAGTGATTTTAATGAGTAATTTGAAATAGGCTCTATTTTGCACATCCTTGTCATAACCACCTGTTTTCCCATTGCCCACAACATCGACAAACTAAATGTTAGACACTTACTAAAAACAAAACTAAGCATTTCCCACAAAATGAAGCCAATATTTATTAGAGGAACACATTCCAAATTCACTAGGCTGCTGACAAGATTTTAGTTTGCATAGTTCAAACAAAACCAAGTTTGCCACATTTCTATTGTCCCCTCAGCATGTGGGCCAGTAGTAACAATGTTCCCTGCCTTAGGTGAAGCACACACTTTTGATTGAATAATGTGGTAAAATTCTATAGAGTAATTTTTTTTTTTTTTGAAGTAAAAGCCCCTATAGTGAAAGTTGAAAGTACTGACACAGCCAAATATTCTGGAAACTTAGTCGATTTGAAGTCAAGCTCCTGTACATTAAAATGACTCCAGTTAAAAAAAAAAAGGATAGAGGAATATTACACAGGAACACAAAATGAAATATGTCCTTTAGAAACAGACCACCCATGGCTTCAGTAGGTGACATGTATTTTTTTCTCCAAAATTATTTTTTATTTTTCTGATTATATTTTTCAATTGCTTGAAAAAAGTCTTTGAAAATTCCACTAAAATAGGTTTTTAAAATTAATAACTGTCTTTATGCCAAATAACAATTTCACATGCACAGAATCATAGTATCAGGCTGCTGAATAAATTAAATTGCAGAAATATGCAGCCAGTTGGTATGGAAAAATTAGAGATATGGTTAGCTTTGTTTTTAAATCTAAATAATAACAGGAGGGGAAGCAAGTATATGAAGTGCCTGAATGTAGAAGGAAACCAGCTTGCCAATGGCTTCCATTACCTAAATACTGTTCAAATTCCTTCGTATGGCATAAAAGACCCTCAAATTTTGGTCCCAACCTACTTAGATGGCCTCATCTCCTATCAGCACTCATTCCCCCCAATTTCTGATTTCCTTCATGTCATTGCTGTATACTGTACACACTGTCCTCCTCAATTGGAATGCCCTTTTCTTATCTTGTAAACTGTTTGTTGCTCAAAACTCAGTTCAGTCGGCTGTAGTTGAGGATGCCAAAAATGGGAGCCACTGTTAGAAAGAGAACGGGTGGTATTGGAGGTGAAGTGGACCATTCCTGTGTTTCTGAAAGGTAAGAGGGAAGTTTTAAATTCTTCATTTTATTTGAATCCTTTGTAGACATTGCCACAACCGCATAACCATCATATTCAGAACTCCACTAAAAGTTGAATTGAAATATTCCATTTTTTTTCTTACTGTTTTAAAAACTCAAACTAAAGTAATTTCTCTCCCACTAAACATCACTTATCAACACATTCTTTGTGTTCATCTAAAGTGGTTGAAGGTTAGGGAAATGGTGATAAAGACCAGTTGAAGAAAAATGAATTTCAATCACAAACACTAAAAAATGAATAATTATAGATTAACAACTTTAAAAAAATATGATGTAGTAACTTTATTATTATTATTATTATTTTTTTTTTTGAGACAGAGTTTTCGCTCTTGTTGCCCAGGCTGGAGTGCAATGGCACGATCTTGACTCATGGTCACCTCTGCCTCCTGGGTTCAGGCAATTCTCCTGCCTCAGCCTCCCGAGTAGCTGGGATTACAGGCGTGTGCCACCACGCCCAGCTAATTTTTTGTATTTTTAGTAGAGACGGGGTTTCACCATGTTGACCAGGATGGTCTCGATCTCTTGATCTTGTGATCCACCCACCTCGGCCTCCCAAAGTGCTGGGATTACAGGCGTGAGCCACCGCGCCCGGCCAACTTTATTATTTCTATAGTGGCTGTGAAATAGTATTCTTTTATTTTGAATTTCAACTTTTACATTCAGGGGTGCATGTGCAGGCTTGTTACATGGAAATGCTGTGTGGTGCTGAGGAGGTTTAACAGCTTTTTGAAGAGTATGGGAAGAAGCAAGGAAGAAATTCACAATGATAGGAGTTATGTTATAAAATTCAGGTATCTGCAAATTTGTAAGAAATTATGCTGTTCAAAAGCTCAAGGTAAATTTAAATACTTGCGTGTAGTCAGCTGTGCCTTTGGGACCCACATAGCACAAAACAATGGCCCAGCACAGCAGAGACATTTCCCTTATTTTGAATTTAAAAATATTTGGCAACCAATGCCTATACATTTTTACTTTTTTTCTCCCTAGATTTAACACTAAAGATCTACTGTGATTTTTAATTAATTAATTAATTTATTGAGACTGGATCTCACTCTGTTGTCCAGGCTGGAGTACAGTGGTGGTGAATATAGCTTACTGCAGCCTTTTCCTCCTGGACGCAAGCAATCCTTCCATAGTAGTTAGGACTACAAGTGCACACCAGCACACCCGATAAAGGGGGTTTTTAGTTCCATCTTTTATTTGTGTGCTGGTGCAGTGTGGCATAGTTGCAGAAAACATCGCTTCTGGAATCAGACATATCTGGGTGTTCAAGCTCTCATTTATCAACTGCATGGCCTTTGGCAAACAACCTATGAGCTCTAAGCCTTGTTTCCTGTTTTCGAAAATTCTAATAATAAGGGCATTAACTCAAAGGGGTTCAGAGGTAGTTTTGAAAGGCAGTTAGTATAGTTCTGGAAACATGACACACATTTAATGAATTTTAAAAATTATTGTTGTCATTACTACCCTGCTTCTATTATTTTTATATGCTACGATTCTACCTCTCAACTATAATGTGGAAATTATGAAACAACTGGGCCACTTTTTTTCCAACAAAAGAGACAGACTGTCTTTTCTACTTTCTCTGTAGATTTTGGGATTCTCTTTCTCTTTCATGAGGCTTCTGTGGTGAACTCTGACTACTATCCCAATACTCCTTCCTAGGCCTGCTTCCCTTCTGATTCCTCCAAATATGCTCAGCCCACTGCTGTGTGGTTCCAGCTTGTGAGTCATTCAGTTAGTAGGAGGCCACTTTTAAATTCATTTTAGAAAAAAGAAACATAAATTTGCTTCCAAATTTGCATTCATCACCAGAGAGAATACCTGAAAAGTTACCGTATAGAAAAGTTTGGGATAACATTGCAGGTGGTGTGATCTGGAAGGCAGGCTATCATGTTTTAAAAGGTTTAGCCATCATGCTAATATTTTGGCTGATTACTTCCTCTGTATTGTTCAATTTGAGATTAAGCAAATATTATTTTATAAACTGCAGCAAAAAGTCTACCTTAAAAGTTAATTCTCATTATTCTTTTCATTAATCCTTGATTGAAAGTAGCGTCTTAGATCCAGGAACTATATGTCAAGATTTTTCTAGTGGAGGATATGGGTCAGAAACACTGAGGAATATGGCTAGGTAACTATATAATTAAATACTTGGAACACAAGTGGAATTAATAATGTTAATAGTTGAATTAATGACCTCCACATCTCAGCCCTACCAGACACTCTCTTTCTCCAGGGTGTCTCCATATTATTAAATGACATCATCGACCATCAACAAACAAGTTGTTGTGTTGAAAGATAGAGTTTTGACACCTCCTGTTTCTTCTTTCCTAAATCTAGTCCATGGTTATGTCCTATCCGTACTATCTCTGGTATACATCTTAAGTTTAGCTACTTTTCTTTAGTTCTATCATTATCATCACTCTATTTTAATAGATTAATATTTTAATCTATTTTAATAAAATAAAATAATTTATTTTATTCTCTCTGGTGATGAATGCAAATTTGGAAGCAAATTTATGTATCATCACTCAAATTTAATCCACCATCTTATCCCATTGCCTTGTGGCATAGAATCCCATTTTCTCTCTTGCTTCCTTCTAATCCATTCCTTGCAAGCTAATATTTAAAAGATATAAATATGATTATGTGACTGCCTACTCAAAATCCTCTCCTGATTTCCCTTTGCACTTAAATTACAGAACTCTTAGCATGATCACAAGCACTGTGTATGATCCTTGCTTCGCTATCTAGCCTCAACTTGCACCACTCTGCATCCTTCACTGAATTTTAGTCATGTGAACCTTTCCTTGAAACTCACCAAGCACTTTTCTACCTCAGCATCTTCCTATATATAGTTTCTTAGCCTGAAATGTTTCTACTCCAAATCTTCACCTGGATAAATTTGAAAGTAATTTATTCTGTCACATCTTCAGAGAAGACTTTGCTGACAAGTCCCTTTAAATGAAGTCGATAGTAAGACTTCTCTTAGTAGCTTTCCTTGGTTTTACGTAGTACAGAGTTTGTAAGCATGTATATTTTGTGTAGAAAAGATATTTATATAATATCTTTCTTTTTCATTAAACAATAAACTTCATCAAATTTAGGCTCCATTTTATCCACTGCAATATGCTCAGTGTCTTTCTAACAGCAAGTAGTCAACAAATATTAGTGAAAAACTACATGATCTGATTCTGACTACCTCCCTCTCATTTCAATGTTCACTCTCTCAATTATCTTTATTAGACTGCCTGTTTGGCTGAAGAATAAACACATAGTAACTCTCAGGGAAATTTTAATATCTGTGTAAATAATACTTGAAAGTACTTTGAGACTGTAGTTAAAAATTATGAGGGCAGAGCAGGATGGCAGAATAGAAGCCTACACCATTTGTACCCCTTGCAGAAAGACCAAATTTTAACAACTACCTCTATACAGAAAAGTGCTGTTTAGAAAAAACAAAAATTAGATGAGCAATCATAGTACCTCATTTTATCTTCATAGAAGTTAATGAAAATGGCATCAAGGAGGGTTGGAGACAGTCTT